TATATCTTTGATGAGTAGTATTTTTAAAAAAATTAATTGACTAAAAAGGCTACAAATATTTATAATCAATTTAAAAGATTAATTAAGAAAATATAATAAAAATTATTAAAATAGATTCAAATGATGTTTTAATATAAACAATAATTTTTAAATCTTGCCCCAACCCTTAACATCTTATGATCTTAACATCTTATGACTATGTGCTTAGGGTTGTCAAAACGACTCTTTGTTTGTGAACTGCTCGTTTTGACTCGCTAAGCAAAAAACCCGAACACGAACACACTTTTTGAGCTCGAAATATAAACGAGCAGAATAGGAGCTAAGCTTGGGCCGCGTGTTGGGCTCGTTTACACCCCTATTCTTAATTACACAATTTTTAGTCGTGTTCCATTGATGTTTGTACATATATAAAATGATATTGATATGTTATTAATATAGTAAAGTTCTTTGAATAAAATTAAATATTTTTATTGATTTATTAAACGCTTGACTGACATGTATATTGCTTCATTTTCTCTTGTATTAGTGTAGTTTTTAAGCATAAGTATTCACTGACTTGTTTAGTTCACTGTTATTTCTGAACTAACTTTTCAGGTTAATTAAGTGATTAAAAAATGAACGATAAATGAGAAAACATTTATAGAAGACGCGGATAACCGATAACGAAGTAATTTAATTATATTATTTTAATTTATTTCGATTAAAGACTCTTTCATCAGTTAAATAGTAGCTGAATATAGAAAATTTAATTCACACCGTTCGACCGTCTGTTCCCGCCTTGGTTAGTTACAAGCCCCGGGCCGGGTCGTGACATTAAATCTTATTGAAACAATTCTTAACCAAGCTCCTTGGGTGATGCAACACAAGAGGGAATGTTTGCAAACATCATTCTGCATTTATCTCTCAACAATTATTTTCTCTATTTTTTTCCTCTCCCACCTCTTTGGTTGGCTTGTGTGCTGTAGAATTATGGATGAAGTGGTTTACTGTCCTTTCTCATACTACTGTTACCGTTGCTAGTTTTCTACATGAATTCCTTTTGTTGTTTGCCTTCACGGATTGTTGCTTTTGTCTCCAATCCACAAGGGAAACTGGGAGGATCAGCTGCTGTAGAGAACTTTTATTGCCATCTATAATTTTCCAAAGCTGAATTTCCACAAGGAACATGACATTTGATAGATTGAGGTGAAACTTGTGAAAAAAATGAGGCTAAGTTGTGTAATGCCTGTAAATATAGAGAGAGGGAGCGAGAATGAGAAACGGAGCAAGGGAGAGCAACTTGGGCTATCAATTTGGCTCGTTGTTCGTGAACAGCTCTTGTTCGGCTTTGTTAAGCAGCTCGTGTTCGGCTCGTTAAGCAGCTCTTAAGCCTAACGAGTTGAACACGAGCAAATTTTTTAGCTCAAAATGTAAACGAGCCGAACACGAACAACAGTTTGTTAGCTCGTTTCGGCTTGAAATGGCTCGAAAAAAAAAATTATATAACTTTTTATATAACAATATATTACATATATTATTTATATAATAATATATTATATATATTTATGTCTAAGCTTAAATCATAACACCTCATGTGGCAATGTGGTTAGTGTCTTCTTTTGTATAGATTTGATCCATGTTCGAATCACACAATTTACATCTATTTTTCTCAATTTTAGTTTAACGAGCCAATTTCGAGCAGAACACGAATATTTAAATCGAGCCGAACACGAACACACTGTTAACGAGCCGATTTTGAACACGAGCTATTTCGAACAAGCCGAACACGAGCCAAGCCTGAGCTCGCTTAAGCTCGGCTCGTTTACAGCCCTAAGAGCAACACCGACATCAAGAGATTTAGAGCGAGTGAGCCGAGGAAGTGATGGCATAGGCTTGAGCGTTAAATCTACCAAGACCTCAAGCAGATGCATACATAGCTACCATGACTTGAAGCATAAAAAGATAGAAATTAAAGTTGGTAATTTTGTATTTTTAGAAGTTAGGCATTTTATTGACATTACTATATTTAGCCATTGTGGGAAGTTGTATCTTTGATATATCTTAACATTAGAAAAAATAGAAATGATTGATAAATTTGTATGCATATTAAAATTATCGGTATATATTTTTAATATGCAACATAGGTGTTGATGGTTAGAAAATAATCAAAGTGCCACAGAATTAAATTGATGTACAAAATACTTTGACACAGCCTTTTTAGAATTATGGATGATCAGGGATGAACTGCAAAAAGTTGTTATTATGTTTTTGATGACTATATGAATACTAATTCTCCATGGAGAGTTAATTGCACATCGAAAGAGTTAATGCAATACATACCACTAATTAGGCTGATTTAGCCCGTAAAATTTCAATTTGCTCTAGGCCAATTAGGAGTAGACCATTATAGAATTAAATTGGACCTACTTTAACGTCTCCTAAGGCCTATTTTTTATTGTTTTCAAAATTTTCTTCTTTTTTAAGTTGATTTATTTTTTAAATTTAATTATTCTCTTTACAATATATGATAAATTTTTTTGTTAGGGTTGGATTTAATTTCAAAAAGAAATAAATTTTGAATATAAATTATTTATGCTTGTCCTCTTTATTTTGAGGTATAGGGAATGATAATTTGTATTCAAATTGAACATTGATGAATGAAATTTGATTGTTTGTGAGGCCAGTTGAGTACTCCTTAAATCCAAATTATCTGATCAAATTGTTCCAAATTATGCACCCAAATTTCTTCCTCTCCCAATCTCCATCATTGATTCAGCATTCCTTGAACAAAATTGCCTCAAAGCTCCTATGCTCTAGCTGTTGGAGTTGCATAATTCAGCCTCAAGAATTGGCGTTGCCAGACCTTTCGTTTAATATCATTTCCCTGGTTCTTATCTAACGTATATATGTTCTTAACTCACAGGAAAGGAACTGGAGAAACTTGCTAGAGAAGTGGGATTTTCTGATGCTAGGCATTATGAAATCGCTGCAGGGCTTATGGGGAACTTGGTTGCTACTCGATAGCTGCTAGAACGCTTTATCTTACATTCATCACAAGAGCTATAAAAAGGTATTATAATTCAGTTTCCGGTATCCTTACCAATAGAGTCTGCTAGGTGATGAACTGTTTTCTTTTTTTAGTTATCATGTATTGGTTTGATGTTTTCTTATGAATTTATTGGGATGGCGTAGTGCACTGTTAGAACATTTTTTTTTTTTCCGATGAGACAATGTTATGTTAATAACTCCAACACCAAGTGCTATAATTGAAGTAAAACGAGGCATATTTTGTCTGTTACAATTTGGATGCATAGTTTGTCTGTTACTTGAAGGACTAAAGGCTTTAAATTATAGGATTTAAATAGTCCTATTACTTAAGATCATAATTAGTAGGGAAATAGCATTTAATAAGAATAATATGATTTGCATAAAATCTAATAATGCAATTAGTTCTAGTCAATATGAAGTAAGAAACTGATTAGAAGAAAATATGAAATAAGCTGGTGTCTTCCAAAATCGAAGCAGATAACCAGGAAGCATCTCAGTTTGACTCAAACCATAATAAGCTGACAGAATAACCATTGTATCAAGAAATTGCACCTATTTACATCTTATCAAGAGTTAGATAAAAAGTTATTACAAATAATGAAATAGCAATATTAAAAGCTAGATTAGTAGCGAAATAATATCTTCAAAAGAAGAGAATAGAGTACATACAAATGTTCTCACTTGTAGTAAAACATGCCAGTTAGAATATTAATCAGACAGGTGGCCTATTTTGATTGGGAGATGGAGCAGCGATATATCAAAACAACCTTCCTACAAGCTGCTATTTTTTTTTTCTTTGGTTTTGTGGTGGTTCAACTTATTGAAAGTTAGCAGATTGTGATTTTATCTAAAGCTGAGGCAGAATACATCGTAGCAATAGAAGCCATGAAAGAAGCTTTGTGGTTCCATGGACTGTTGGAAGTAGGGCTGTAAACGAGCCGAGCTTGAGCGAGCTCAGGCTTGGCT